GATTAAGACAGCAGAGACCTCACCCTTGCTGCGCAAGGGGAAGACTGTGGGGTACCGCGTGTAGTCGTCAACAACCAGCAGAAAGTAGCGCTCGCGGCCCTGTCCACTGACGCGGGCTGGGCCCCACACGTCCATGTGGAGGGACTGCAGGGGAGCAGTCGTCGGGGGAAACGAGGAGGAGTGAGGAGGAGCGCGCTGCCGCCCCTCAACGCAAGGAAGACAGGGCGGGGCAGGCGAGGGCGGTAAGGGAGGCAGAGACCTGGGGAGACCAGAGACAAGGAGACGGGAGTGCATGCCACGAAGGCGTGGCAGGGAGGGGTGACCCAGGCGGTGGTGCCAAAGAAGAGTCTGGTGCGACAAGAGGCGACACGAGCAAGAGGTGGCTACCTGACCTGACGTGGACACCTGAGTAGACGCAGCGACCTGAGGAGGCTCGGTAGCCAGCGTGTACAGACTCGACCCTGGCCGACGAGTGAACGTAGCCAGGTGACGGCCCGTCCGAGTGCACGTGCAGATCAACACACGCTGACCCCCAGGAGTGTTGGTAGTGACCATCGCATCCTGGAGGGCAGCGGTACTCACCAAGTTCGTAGAGAACGAGGGGAGGTGAAGACCTGACAGTGAGCTGGACGGAACCGCCGGACACGGGAGGACAGTTGAGGAACGGGCAACGACCGGGCCCCCAGAGGGGTCAGCCAGTCTGACCGGAACAGGTGCAGGGAGAGGAGTGAGAGTGGTGCTGTCACGAAAGAAATAGCGCGAGGCGCCGGAGTCCAACGTGAAGGTGTGCAAGGCCTCAGCAGGCGCAGTACCAGGGGGAGTACCAGACGCACTAGCACCTAGAGCAGCAGCCGCTATACCTGGGTCAGGTGGCACACACCGGTAACAGTCACCCTCAGCACTAAAAGACAAAGCATACATGGCAGAGATAACAACAGCACTAAAAGTACACTGCGCATCAGCTCAACCTCTGGCCTCGTGTCTCCTTGCCGGAGACCTCGTCGACACTGCGTTGGACGGGGGAGGTTGGCGATGCGTCGGTGTTCCGGTATCGGGGCTCTCGTGCCTTTGTTCACGATACGTCTGCGAACAAGCTCTCCGCCCACGCTATTCCCTGCGTCTTCCTTGGTTTTCCCCCTAACGCGCCTGGTTGGCAGTTTTACCACCACACCTCGCACCGTGTCATCCCCTCTCAGGATGTCACGTTTGACGAGTCGGTTCCCTTTTACCATCTCTTCCCCTACCGCTTTGCCCCTCCCCCACCCCCGCCGCACTTCCTTGCTCCAGGTCCCCCTCCGGTAGACCCCCTCCCCCCCCAGGGTCCTGCTCCCTCACGTGTAACTCAGGTAGACCCTCTCCTTGGTACTGTGCCTGTTGAGGTAGCTGTCAGCTAAGGTGCTGCTCGAGGTGCTGCATCTAAGGGTGCTGCGTCTGGGAGTGCTGAGTCTAAGGGTGCCAGGTCTGGGGGTGCTGAGCCTGGGGGTGCGGAGCCTGGGGATGCTGTGCCTACGGGTGCGGAGCCTGGGGGTGCTGAGCCTGAGGGTGTGGAGCCTGGGGGTGCTGGGTCTGAGGGTGCGGAGTCTGGGGGTGCTGAGCCTCAGGGTACTGCTTCTTCTGGGGATCTTGCGAGTGCTTCGCCACGACAGTCTCCCCGGCCGGAGCCTCTCTCCCCGCAGCAGCTGCGCGAGTGGTTTGCTCAGCGCACCCGCCTTCGGAGTGGAGCTGCCGGAGCTGGAGTCTCTGCCGCTGGTCACACTAGAGCTGGAGGTGTTGAAGTTACTGCTGGAGCTGGTGGTACCGTAGGTGCTGCAGCTACTGGTCTTGGAGGTGCTCGTACCAGGGGTACTGGAGCTGCTGGGACTGGTAGTGTTGGGGGCGCTTTAGCTGGAGGGGCTAGAGTTGGAGACCCTGTAGAGCCTGTAGGCACTAGAGCTGGAGGCACTGGCGCTGGAGCTGTAGGAGCTGGAGCTGGTGACACTGGAGTTGTTGGCGCTGGAGCTGGAGGCACTGGCGCTGGTGGCGCTGGCGTTGGAGGAGCTAGAGCTGGAGACACCGGGACTGTTGACCCTGGAGCTGGAGGTGCTGGAGCTGGGGGTGCTGTGTCTGGCGGTACTGGTGCTGGAGGCACTGTGCGGTCGCGACCGTACTTCATTCCCCTACTTCAGCTGGTTCTTGGTCTCCCGTCTTCTACTGGCCTTACTCCTCCCTTACTGTGTCCACCGTCTGACCAGTCACAGCCGCCGCTACAGCCAGCCTCCCCACTGCCTGCTCCTTCTCCTTACACTGAGCAGACTGGAGGTCTTACAGAGCGTCGTGAACCTGCGTCTCGTCCTGCCTCGCCTGTTCGCGCTGTTCGCACTGGTCGTAGGGTTCCTCGTCCGCGTCCTCCTCCTTTCCCCGGCACCCACGCAATGGCACTTCGTCCTTCCTCTGTTCCACTGCGTGTTCCTCTGCTGCCTCCTCCTAAGTCCTCTCTTCCTACCATCCTTGACCCTGAGTCTGACCTTGCTCGTGCTACCAGTCCCACTGTCTCTCGTCTCCTCGCCACTGTTGTCACTGACCCTTCTTTTAAGTCCACTACTGCGTCTGCCCTCGTTGCTGAGCTAGTTGACTTTGCTGCTGCCTGTCGTCTAGACTACGCCACTGCTCTTGTTGCTGAGTCAGAGTCTGCCAGTCCTCCATCCGTCGGGGGTGAGTGTGCTCTTTGCACGAACGACCTTGAGGACAGGCAGGAGGAGTTTGAGTGTCTTGCAACTGCTGTACCTCGTTTCGCGTCCATGCTGCTTGCCCCTGAGGGAGACCCGGATGCACCACACATCCCGACCCCGCGCTCTTACGCAGAGGTGATTACGAGTCCTTACTCCTCTTAGTGGCAGGCAGCCACGGATGCCGAGATGGCATCCTGGAAGTCCACAGGCACTTACGTTGATGCAATTCCCCCGTCTAGGGCGAACATAGTCGATGGCATGTGGATTTTCAGGGTTAAGCGGCCGCCGGGTTCTCCGCCTGCCTTTGAGGCGCGTTACGTTGCTAGAGGCTTCAGTCAGCGACAGGGGGTCGACTACTTCCAGACCTTCTCCCCCACCCCGAAGATGACCACTCTTCGGGTGTTGCTGCACGTCACTGCTCAGCGTGACTATGAGTTGCACTCTCTGGACTTCAGTATAGCTTTCTTGCAGGGCAGCCTGCACGAGGAGATCTGGCTGCGCCGCCCACCTGGCTTCACTGGGTCGTTTCCTGCAGGTATCCAGTGGAGCCTCTGGCGGCCAGTCTACGGTCTCCGCCAGGCGCCTCGCGAGTGGCACGACACACTGAGGACTACACTTGCGGCTCTGGGGTTTACTCCTTCCAGTGCTGACCCGTCGCTGTTTCTACGCACCGACACGTCGCTGCCGCCGTTCTACGTCCTCGTGTACGTCGACGACCTGGTCTTTGCCACTTCTGACACTGAGACACTGACCCTTGTGAAGTCTGAGCTGCAGAAGAGACACACCTGCACTGACCTGGATGAACTGCGCAGCTATCTTGGCTTGCAGATCACTTGGGACAGAGCACGGCGCACCATCACATTGACTCAGTCACACATGCTGCACCAGGTCCTTCAGCGCTTCGGCTTCTAGTTGAACTCGCCACAGCCCACTCCTCTGTCTACCAGCCACTCGCTCTTAGCTCCACCTTCAGACGAGTCCGTAGAGTCGAGTGGTCCGTACCCAGAGCTTGTGGGTTGCCTCATGTACCTGATGACATGCACACTAACTGACCTCGCGTACCCTCTCAGCCTCCTGGCTCGCTACATGGCTCCCGGCTTGCACCGAAAGGTGCACTGGGATGCTACGAAGAGGGTACTGCATTACTTGTGTAGTACGTCGGGCATGGGGCTCGTGCTTGGAGGACGGGGTCTAGTTGTCCTCACTGGTCACGTAAAGGCTTCTTGGGTTTATGACTTGGCTACGCAGCGGTCGTCACAGGGTTACACCTTCAGCCTCGGTTCCGGCTCTGTTTCCTGGCGGTCTACCCGCTCATCTTCGGTTCTCAGTTCCAATCGTGAGGCTGAGATCTACACCGGGGCCATGGCTGCACAGGAGCTACGATGGCTCACCTACCTGCTGACTGACTTGGTAGAGCAGCCTCGTTCGCGACGAAGCACATCGCTCTGCGATACTTCCTTGCTCGAGAGTTGCAGCAGCGTGGCCAGCTTTGTGTTGCGTACGTGGCCACTAGGGCCAACACTACTGATATATTCACCAAGGCACTTCCGCCTGGTGATCATCAGCGCGTCTGTACTGTTTTAGGCCTTGTGCCTACTTTGCCTCACTTGCTCACTACGTGAATTTGCTTGTACTGTTATCTATATATATACCTGCATGCTTACTCTTGCTAGGCTATGATCACTGTACTGTTTGTGCTCTTTATATAACACTGCATGTGAACTGGCCTTGTGGTCCTTTGCTTGTGCTCGGACTGTGTGTTGACTTTGTGATCCACCCTGAGCTTGCTTTGTTTTTCTTGACTGGTCTTGTGACCACTTGTTCTCCCCCACTTTGCCAATGTGGGTGTGTCAGAATGTTCTATTGCTTACTTTGTGTAGGCTATAGTGGGGTAGCCCATAAGGGGTACAACCCAATTAGGGTTAGTACTTGTACCCAAATTTTGCTCAATGCATTCATTCTCGTTCATTCTTGACAATCTGGTCGACGTGCCTAAGCATGTGCTCCTGGGGAAGCTTGTCGCGTATTTGCTTCAGCATTTTCGCCGCCCACCTCTTGTAGTGGTAGATGAACGAGGTGTACAGCCTCAGCGTGCCATTCTTCTCCATGGTTTGTAGGTGGCGTAGGGTGTCTATGACCAGCACGTCGATGCAGGCGTAAATCATGTCGTCTTCGACGAAGTCTGCCGCTCTCTATTATTCGTGTGGCACCGCCATGTTCTGCTCGTCCTCCTCCTCGTCCTGTTCAAGCAGGTTATCTATGTATTCAAGTTCCTGCCGGATTCGTGCTATGCTAAGGATGCTCATCGTATTCGTCGCCGCTCTCCTCCTCCTCCTCCTCCTCCTCCTCCTCCTCCTCCTCCTCCTCCTCCTCCTCCTCCTCCTCCTCCTCCTCGTCATCAACCTGGTTTTCTGAGCCGGTCGGTACCGACGAAGGTCCAGGCTGCCCATCTTGCATCGGGGTCGACTTACTAGCTAGCTTCATAAACTCCCTTATCGGCAGTGGGGGAATGTCCTTGGTGAACTCCCCTTCTGGAATCTGTGTCAGTGCGTCAAGATCGTAGAGTAACTTGAGCGTCTCTTTGGGGGTAGAGGTCTGATTGTGGTCGGTTGGGGGACCAACGTCGGACATGTCGACGTCGGCCATGCGGCCGCTCGTAGTTTGCTCTACCGTCGACCGTGTTCGAGGTAAAGGATGGACCACCAGAGACGGTACTGAGTCACGGGTGCGGTGTACGCCCGATGAGTTGCTCAAGCATCTTTTTCGAATTCTCTCTCAAGTGCTTCTAACTCAGCGGCGAGCTCGAGGCGTTCCAGCTGCGCTTTGATGTCAGCGTTTACAGAGTCGGTAGGGGGTGGGATGGGTTGCGGCTAGTTAGTTTCTTTCATCCCGTCTTGCTTGGTCGGTAGAGCTATTGATACTCTGCCGAGATGCTGCCCTAAAACATCCGACGTCGACGTCGACGCATTCAAACAGTTCGGTTACCTAAACACCGGCCTGGGTAGTGTATGCCAAGTAGACGCTACCGGTGCCAACGTGATCGATTGGTCGGCGCACGAGTAACCCACACTCGTGAAGATAGCTAGGGTTCAGAAAATTCCAAGTGCAAGAGAGAGCAGGAATGAACGCAGGAACGGAGAAGGGAATGAGCACCAGCGCAAGGTCACGGAGGGGTATGGTTGTGAGCGACTTCGATTCTGCCGCGCTTCACGCAACCCCCTATGGTTGTGCCACTATGCATGTGTTCTCGTGCGGCGGCGCAGTGTCCGACGTGCCATGAGCCATGCATGGCTAATGGGTCGCCGCGCTGCACTCAAGGGGCGTAAGCCTGGGCATGTCCACGGTGGAATGTGCGTGCGTTACGTGGCGTGGGCCCATCATTGGTGCCTCTCTGCAGAAATGCCGGCATGCCGACTTCCATGGCCTAAGGGCCCGGGATTATTGAAGAGCCACGTGGCAAGCCCACCGTGAGCCCCTCGTGGTCGGCGCCGACTTTCCTGCGGCGCACTAGGGTGTGTCTTTAGATTCCTTTAACCTAGACAGTGTTAAGGCACTAACCGATGGTGCCGCGTGGCTCGGATTAGGCCATTGGATCCGTAGTCGACACCGACATGGCGAGCAACACACGATGCCAGACAACTGTAACATTTTTTTACTGACAGATTTTTGCCGCGTAGATCGGCCACCGACAAATTTGGGTGCGCAGTCGAGTTCCCGCGCTGAAATCGCGGCTCAACATGGCGTTCTGTGATTTTTTGTCCGCTGAGATGTCCTTCTCAGGTTTCTCTCAGCGAAACTCGAGGTCGTCAGATTGTCGACAATCCCGAGGGCTCTAGGGGCCCAGAGGTCTGCCATTTCGCCCCAGTTTGCCACTCAGAGTCGTCAGGAGTTCGTCAATCCCAAGGGGGGCCCTTGTCCTATCGAAACCGCGAAATTGGGCGGCGTTTTCTGTCCGCTGAGGTATATCATCCCAAACTGAACCACCCCGCCCGCCACAAGGGCAAGCCCGAAAAGCAAAGTCGTATCAAGACAGAAAAGGAATGAAATAGGTCGTCTCTTCTGGACAATCTCTGGAAATGGCAGCTGGCGCTCTCCTTGAAAATCTCTGCCCTCGCGCAAAGGCAAAACAAGACAGTGTTTCAGCTAAGCGTTGTGTTTCAGCTTAGTTTACTAAGTCTCTGGATAGGGTTTAGTGTTGGAATTGGAAACAAGTAATTTAATGCTTCTGAAGTAATCAAAGTATCGACACGAAACAACACGCGAGTCAACAACCGTAACAGCTAGAGGTTACGCGAAGCTCAAAGGTCGCTGACCTTTGACTCTACGAAAAAATACAGTGCGACAGCAAGGACACATAACTGACTCGATACTGAGCAGTTAACCGAGTCGACACTGTATCGAACCGCAACAGCAAAAACAGTTAAAGTAGACCTTTTCATATTCCCTTGTAATCATACAAAAGGCCTGTATCTCTCTGCTATTATCAACTTATCTTGTTCTTGTTAGAATGTGAACGAATGAATGATTTAACTAGAAAGCATTTGGGTACAAGCAGCAAACCTAGAAGTGTTGTACCCTATAAGAACTACCCCACTACAGCCTAAAGAGACTATAGCATATAAGTTTGACACACCCCCATAGGCAAAGTGGGGGAGAACAAGAGGTCACAAGACTAGTCAAGAAAGGCAAAGCAAGCTCAGGGTGGATCACAAAGTCACCACGCAGTCTGAGCACAAGAAAATGGCCACAAGGCCAGTTCACATGCAGAGTCATATAAACGAGAGCAAACAATACAGTGAACACAACCTAGCAAGTGTATGCATGCAGGTATATGTATAAAGAGTACAGTACAAGCAAAGTCAAGAAGTAAGCAAGTGAGGCACAGTAGGTACAAGACCTAACACAGTACAGAAACGCTGATGATCACAAGGCTGAAGTGCCTTGGTGAAAACATCAGCAGTGTTGGCCTGAGAGGCCACGTAGGCAAGACGAAGCTGACCGCGCTGCTGCAACTCTCGAGCAAGGAAGTCGCGCAGAGTGATGTGCTTCGTTCTGTGCTCCAGTCTGTGCTCCTGACACAAGGCAAGCATGGCCTTGTTGTCGACGTACAGAACTGGAGGAGAACGAGGCGACACTCCCAAGTCGGTCAGCGGGTAGGTGAGCCAGCGTAGCTCCTGTGCAGCCATGGCCCTAGCGTAGATCTCAGCCTCACAACTAGAGCTGAGAACAGAAGAAGAGCAGGTAGACCGCCAAGAGACAGAACCGGAGCCAAGACTGAAGGTGTAACCCTGTGACGACCGCTGCGTAGCCAAGTCGTCAACCCAGGAGGCGTCAGCGTGACCTGTGAGGACAACTCGAGCCCGTCCTCCAAGCACAAGCCCAATGCCCGATGTACTGCACAAGTATCGCAACACCCTCTTCACAGCATCCCAGTGCACCTTTCGGTGCCTGCCGGGAGCCACGTAGCGAGCCAGAAGGCTGAGAGGGTATGCGAGGTCAGGTCGTGTGCAAGTCATCAGGTACATGAGGCAGCCCACAAGCTCTGGATACGGGCCACTCGGCTCTACGGACTCGTCCGAAGGTGGAGCTCAGAGCGAGTGACCGGTAGGCAGAGGAGTGGACTGTGGCGAGGAGTACGTGAAGCCGAAGCGCTGAAGGACCTGCTGCACCATGTGTGACTAATTCAAGGTAATGGTGCGCTGTGCTCTATCCCGGGTGATCCACAAGCCAAGATAGCTTGTCAGCTCACCTAGGTCAGTGCAGGTGTGTCTCTTCTACAGCTCGGATTTCACGTGGGCGAGTGCCTCAGTGTCAGCAGTAGCAAAGACGAGGTCGTCTACGTACACGAGAACGTAGAACGGCGGCAGAGTGATGTCAGTGCGTAAAAACAGAGAAGGGTCAGAAGTGGAAGGAGCAAAACCAAGAGCAGCAAGAGTCGTCCTGAGTGTGTCGTGCCACTCACGGGGTGCCTAGCGGAGACGGTAGACTGGCCGCTGGAGGCTCCACTGGGAACCAGCAGGATACGACCCAGTGAAGCCAGGTGGGCGGCGCAGCCAGATCTCCTCGTGCAGGCTGCCCTGTAGGAAGGCTGTGCTGAAGTCAAGCGAGTGGAGCTCGTAGTCACGCTGAGCAGCAACGTGCAGCAGTACCCGAAGAGTGGTCATCTTCGGGGTAGGGGAGAAGGTCTGAAAGAAGTCAACTCCCTGTCGCTGACTGAAGCCACGTGCAATGTAATGCGCCTGGAAGGCAGGCGGAGAACCCGGCGGTCGCTTCACCCTGAAGATCCACATGCCACTGACGATGTTCGCCCCAGGTGGGGGAACCTCGTCTACGTAGGTGCCTGTGGACTTCCAGGAAGCCATCTCGGCGTCCATGGCTGCCTGCCCCTGAGAGGAGTAGGGACCCTCTATCGCCTCTGCGTAAGAGCGCGGGTTCGGGATGTCTGGTGCATCCGGGTCTCCCTTAGGGGCAAGCAGCATGGACACGAGATGAGGTACAGCAGCGGCAAAGCACTCAAACTCATCCTGTCTGTCCTCAAGAACGTCCGTGCCAAGAGCACACTCACCCCCGACGGACGGAGGACACACAGACGCAGACGCAGACTCAGCAACAAGACTAGTGGCGTAGTCTAGGCGACAGGCTGCAGCAAAGTCAACCAGCTCAGTAACAAGAGCAGACGCAGCAGTGGACTCAAACAGAGGGTCAGTGACAGCAGTGGCTAGAAAGCGCGTGACAGCTGGACTAGCAGCACGTAGGGAGTCAGACGCAGGGTCCGGACCGGCAGGAAGAGAGGACGCAGGAGGAGACGGCAGAGGGACACGCTGTGGAGCAGTGGAAGGACGCAGAGTCATAGAGTGAGTGCCAGGGACAGGAGGAGGACGCGGACGCGAAACACGACCAGCGCGAACAGTACGGACGGGCGACGCAGAACGAGACGCAGGCGACACATGACGCGACTGAGGCTCACGACGCTCCGTAAGACCTCTAGTCGGTCCAGAGTAAGGAGAGGCCGGCTGTAACTGCGACTGGGACTGGACAGGCGGTGGACTAAGGAAGGGAGGAGGAGGACCAGAAGAAGGCGGGGAACCAAGAACCTGCTGTAGGAGTGGAACGTAGTACGGCCGCGGCCGTGCAGCGCCTCCAGAAACAGCAGAGACAGAACCGGTACCCTCAGCCCCAGGGTCTCCAGTCCCAACAGCACCTCCAGTAGCTCCAGCAGCTCCAGCACCAGCAGCACCTCCAGCAGCTCCAGCAACCCCAGCACCAGCAGCACGTCCAGCACCAGCAGCACCGCCAGCAGCTCCAGCAGCACCTCTAGCAGCTCCAGCACCAGCAGCACCTCCAGCAGCTCCAGCAGGAGCAGCACCTCCAGCAGCTCTAGCACCAGCAGCACCTCCAGCAGCACCAGCAGCACCTCCAGCAGCTCCAGTAGCACCAGCAGCATCTCGACAGCGCCGAGAGTACCACTCACGAAGCTGCTGTGGAGAGAGGGGCTCCCGCCGCGACGGGACACCTGGAGCACCTCCAGGCTCAGCACGCGCAGGCTCAGCACCTCCAGACGCAGTACCCGCAGGCTCTACACGCCCAGGCTCAGCACCCCCAGGCTCAGCACGCCCAGACTCAGCACCCCCAGACTCAGCACCCTC